CACGTTTAGATTGAATGGTAATTTATAATCAGTCACAAGAACGTCGAATCTGAATCACTTGAAAAAAACACGGGGGTGCTTAACTTTTTTCCAGGTGTATATATATACCTACAGAGAGAGAGAGAGTGAGATATTGTCTATATATTAATTATTGCGAGCACTCAGTTCTTTGAAAATCACGAAATAATTGGAATGCTTTATTATCAATATAAATTGTGATGTTATAAAATTTTGAAAGTAAGTTTTTGTAATTATTACATTGTAAGGATAATGAATTAATTATCAGTATTTTTCTCAGGTACACTTGTTGTTTCAGCAACTTTACAATTAAATAATTTGTTCTCGCCTTTATAGTCCAGCAGAAATTGAATGGACCCGGACATTTTCCATAACAACCAAATTTTTGTTCTAGGGACTTCCATATGATGTCAGTATTACGTGAGAAAATTTCACACACGTGGGGAAATAATATTTTGGGCAAGTCAAAGTATATGGATGTGATGTCCTTGAAAATGTCAGTTATATAATTAAGTTTTGGAATATATGCACATGAATAGCCTTTTACAATAACAAAATGTTCCTCAACGAGTAAGAAGAGAGAATAATAATTCCAGAATTCAAAACAAGATGAACTTTCATTTGAAAACCCTAATCCTTTGCCGAATATATGATAAAACACTCAAAATAGAACTACGGATGTTTTAAAGCTGATAATGTTCCGATGTTCTAAAAGACATATATCAACAAAATAGAACTACGGATGTTTTAAAGCTGATAATGTTCCGATGTTCTAAAAGACATATATCAACAAAATAGAACTACGGATGTTTTAAAGCTGATAATGTTCCGATGTTCTAAAAGACATATATCAACAAAATAGAACTATTGATGTTTTAAAGCTGATAATGTTCCGATGTTCTAAAAGACATATATCAACAAAATATAACGCTAAACAGCATATTAAGTTTATTACGGATACTAATAAGTACATCTGTGAACATGACAAGTGTCGGATAATACATCTTCTATATTGATCAGTCAAGTTTTTTGTTATCAACGTTGCTAGAAGTGTTTCGGCATTGTGCTTCACACTTGCAGTGGATACTACAAGCAATACCCTTCTTGGAAGACCCACATGACACACATAGTCATTGACTGCTCTTACACGAACATCTAACATTTGTAAGAAGTTCCACGAGTGCTGCAGCTTTGTCGGTGATTACAGGTACAACGGAGTGAAATTAGGCTGCCCTGCATGTTGGAGGCATGCGTTGAATAGGGAAAAATCGGCGATATCACCATCAAGTATCGCATTTCATCAACATTTTTTAATTTTGCACTGTTCGTGTAGTAAGCGTGCATAAATTTCTCACCGATATTCTGCAGCAAGTCGTTTGATGAAGATGTGTCCCTGAAATTGGGTACTTTTGAACGCCATTTTTGTGATGACTGACGTATTTTGAGATGCTTAACATTACCGATTCCATACAAAGTGAAATCGTGTCGTATCCAGAACTAGCATGAGCAAAATGTAAGCATATGCATAATTCTCTCCCGATAACTTCTTTCGCTATCCTGATTGAAATGTACTGTTACTTTGTATTTAGGAATATATCTGCTGAATGTTTTGCGTGATTAAATAGCAATATTAGAATATGTGTATCGTCTGCTGTGATAATTATCTGTTCATGGTTTTCTATGAGTTCAAGTGCCATTCGAACTATCACCACGTCAGCATCTCCTTCCTGCCCTGCATGATTTACGTTGATCCCAACTGACTTAAGGTGAATTGCCAACAGGGTAATGAAGTTTCGTTTGTTACGTTTCCTCGATAAAAATGATGCATTGTCTGCAGGAACACATAATATTTGCTGTAGCCACTGGGGTAATGAAGTTTTGTTTATTACGTTTGTTCGATAAGAATATGTCTTGTCTGCAGGAATTGGGGTATTGTTTTTGAGCACCATGTCAGGACATGATATTTGCTGTAGCCACTGTTTTTTCTGTTCTGGTCCTTTTGTCGTTTCTACTTCATAGCTATCAAAGATCACCAATACCGTTCGCTTGCTGTATTCGTACTACAGTGGATACCAAAGAGTTAAACACAGTGTCCATTGTTCCAGCTTTGTGCCATGGAATATGATGAATCAGAGCACAGCCGTCATACAATCTGCCTGACTTGGTGGAACAAGATAATTGATTTGTTATATATGTACTCATTTGAAGCAAATGATTTGCTAGTTGTAACTTCTGGATTTGCCTCATACTTCCATCAGACCTTAGTTTTGGAGTTGAGGAATTATGTTTTCCAAGTCCAGCAGTACTGTGTTGAGCTTGTTCTACATTTATTGCAAGCGTGTAAGCCTTGTAGCACTTTTCATGCACATGGTATTTTTCAGAAGGCGAAGATTGCACTTTCTAGTGAAGCTCATCTCCAAGATTTCGTGATTCCTCTAGCAGCGAAAATAATCACTTCAGACCTAATGTTCTACCACCACCATCACTAATTTTACTACCAAAAACTATATAAAGACATGTTGATGTCTTATCTATAGTGAAAAGAAACAAAATTAACACAAGTAACTGACAGCAAAAGCCGTAATAGCAGCAAGAACAACAGAGCAATAATAGTATATTAATAGCAGATGCAGCAGCAGTAGTAGTAATAGTAGTGTTACAAGTAGTAGCTGAGCATTAATATTACCATCAGTAGTCGCGACTGTCTCTATGTATTGTCTTGAAGTACTCTTTTCATAAATTTATTTGATGTTCGCTGTATTAATTAATTAAATATTTGTGTATTCATACGTGGTTATTGAATTCAAACATAATATTCAATTACTATAGTTATCCTCAAATACAATCATAAGTGCCTATTTTCATTTGAGACAGAATGGAGCTTTTGTCAATATCAAATATGTCTGTCACATTCACCTTAACATTCCCAAAGTCTCTAAGCCTTAATGTTCTAAAGTATTGAAGTTTCAATTTTCTTATAAAATCATGCAAACAATTATATTAGGTGGATTTATTGAATCATTATTATGAATAAAAGTCTGTGCAAAAACATTGCTATATTTATTCAGTGTTTAATAGTAATCTTTTCACACACAAAAAACTGCATTGTATAGGCCTAACTTTGACCTGTAAAACAAAACAACAAAATTCCCCATGTAAGAATTTGTGTGAATTTTTCTTGCTGCTTTCAGAAACCCATATCCATGTTTTAAGACCAAAACTTGGTTGTTATGGAAAATGTCCAGGTTGGCCATATTTTGTGTCAATTTTTACTGGACTATTATTCCTTATTTTAAAAACGTCTTTTATAGTAAGATTGTGCCATAAAGATTAAAATTTGCTCTTTAAAATTCTGTGAAATTAATTCATTTTACATAAAGAATGTAATCTGTTTACAATTTACATGAACTGTTTCTTTTATTATTGATTTTATACAAAAACACAAATTAGAAATAAACGTCAAATATTGTTCTTGAGATATGATATAACTAAAAAAATACAACTAATAACTACTTTGGTGATACACTAATAAGTGTTTACGTTATTGGTAATTTTTACTCCTCCTTTGTCCGCAGTCTCCTTTTTTCTAAACATATTTGCTAGTTACATACATGTATATCAGGCAAATGTTTTATTTAAAGACACAATGTATACAACCAAGTGTTTTCTAGGTCATTACGAGTATACAAGAAAAGTTAATCCTACTAAAACTATATAATAACTAGTGCTCTATGCGTAAAATTAACACATCAAAATAATATCCCGTTCGTTATTAAAGAGGGTGCAAATAAAGAAAATGGTTTAAATTTAAACACCAAATGAAACAAAAGGGCATCATTACATTTATATTTTGTTTAATGCCAACCTCCGCCTTTGCCTGGTCCCAAGTCCAGGATGAGAAAGGAGGAGGGTTGGGCTAGCAACTCCACCCCGTAAAAACCAACCTGCTACAAGTAACTGCAACAACACCTTCCGTTGGCGAGGTGTTGTTGCGGTGAGTTTACAGGAATAAAAAAAACAAAAAAAAACTGAGATCCTTAAATAATATAATTTAAGTTAAATTTACATGTGCTTAGGTGATAAAAAAGTGACTTTTTAGCTTAATAAATTATAATTTAAATGTAACATGTTTTCTCAATATTATAATACTGGGGCAGGATGATATAAAAGTGATGAAGAACTTTTTTAAATCACTCTA